AGGGAGACCCTGCTCCAAAACACAAAACAAACAAAGGCCAAATCCAAAAGTTATACATATGTATATATATGCAAATATAGTAAATACGTATTATGTTGATATACATATATAAAAATATAAGTATCTATTATGTTGAATATATTGCCAACTATTTATATATATATATAGATATTTTATTGTTTCATGTACTAAATATGGAAAGTTTTGTAGCATAAAAACACACAAAAAACTTTCTCCCTGGAAATCATAATAAATAGTTCCGGGATTATAGATTCAAGCACACATAAGAAGGCGTGATCTCCAAATATTACTGTTAATGAGTGATGGAAAAGAAACGCCAGTGGCACCCAAGTTGCAGTGTGCTTTAAAGCACTTTGATCCCCAGCTCTATTATTTCCAAATTCAAGTTCATTTCACATAGCATAGAAACCAAAAGCATTTCCTTATCATTCTCTGTAAAATCTGTGGATGAGAGAAAGTTACAGAGAGTTTTCAGAAATAATGGCTTATATTTAAAATGATAGATAACGTGTATTGAAGCTGCAGGTCCCAATAAGTCCAGAATCAGGCTGTATTTGAGAGAGTGAAGGTCTTTAGAGGACAGTAAGTTGAACTGGGGCCGTTAGATTGGGCTCTGATATAATACGACTGGTGTCCTTTCAAGAAAAGCAGAGAAGGACATAGCCTTGTTTGGATGGACAGATCTGTCACATTGAGAAAGCGGCCGTGTACAAGACAAGGAGAGAAGCTATGAAAACAGAAAATCTGCAGATTTTGACTTTGGGATTTCAACCTCAAGGATTGAGGGAAAATCAATTTTGTTTTTAGATGACCCAAGTTTGCTAGGGCAGCCTTAGTCAATTCAGAACAATCCATACCATTCTGGAATGAAAATAGTAGCTGATGCAGCAATTTGATAATTAACGTTCTTAAATGGCTTTCATATAGATTAAGAAATTTGTGGCTGGAGAGATGTCTCAGCAGTTAAGAGCACTGACTGCTCTTCCAGAGGACCAGTTTCAATCCCCAGCACCCACATGTAGCTCACAACTGTCTTTAAGTTCAGTTCCAGGGGATCCAACATCCCCACACAGACATACATGCAGGCAAAACAGCAATGAACATATAAATAAATAAAATAGATAGGTAGGTAGGTAGGTAGATAGATAGATAGATAGATAGATAGATAGATAGATAGATACATAGATAGATACATAGATAGATAGATGATAGATAGATACAGACAGGCAGACAGACAGGCAGAAAGATTTATCATGTTAATATCATTAAAATTATTTGAGGTTGGGGATGTTTGAACATTTTATTTTCTCTAGGGAAATTAATATGTAGCTGAGATTAGCAGGACGTCAAATGCCTGTGGATGGTCATTCCCCAGGTAAAATTCCCACCTCCAGTTCACTGGGCACCAGGAGAAGAGACAATGGGTCAGAACTGAACTCTACCTCAGACAACTTTGCAGCACCAAAAGTGACAGATCATGTTCACAGGAAGAGCCTCAGTGTGACCTGATGAGAACTTGACCTCTGTACGTGCTGTTCCTCCCGGAAAACCCAAGATCTGGAGCCCTAGGTTAAACCTAAGAAAAGCATCAGCCTTGGGCTATAGAGAAAACCCAGGAGTCTCAGCCTCCCCCTCCCCCATCCTCTCCTCTCTCTTTCTGTGTGTGGTATTAAATACCATCTGGATTATCAGCAATAAGGAATGTCATGTGGGACACCAAATAAGATCCTGGGACAAAGTAAGGATGTGTAAGGCCATTATGGGTTAATCATGCTAATACTGGCTCATTCACTGCAACAAACAGCACAGGAATGGAGAAATCTGAGGTATCTATGTGCTAAGTCATAACATTTCTGTAAAGCTGAAAAATACAGGTTTTTTTTTTTATTTTTTTGACTTTGGCTAGCTTAGAACTCAATATGTAGACCAGGCTGGCCTCATACTCACAGAGATCCAGAGGCCTCTGCTTCCTAAATACTGGGATTAGAGATGTGCCCCGTGACTTTTGAGCTCTTAACACTGCTGAAATGAGCTGGTATTTTCACAAATACTGCAGATGCCAATCAGGGTTTAGTTATCATTCAAACACCTAGACATCCCAGAGGCTTTGCAAACCTTTGCAACTCCAAGGTTACAGTCTCAGAAATATGCCCACTTATTCAATATTTGGTATGACTATTGTAGTATTTCCTGCCAAAGCCACAACTGCACAACCTGACACTTCACGGCATTCTTGCTGCATTCCAGTTAATCACCAGATAAACTTGAAAGAACTCTGTGTCCTCTCTGTGAGTATAGCAGCCTGGTACTCACGAGGCAGGACAGAGGCCTCATTCAGGAAAGATGTGTAAGGCTGTGTGGCCATTGTCAATATAATCTCTCACGCCTGCTCTAGGCTACAAGAGCAAGGACCATTTTTTTTTGTTGTTGTACTATGATTTTATAAACTCATCCATTTCTCTGGCGTTTTCTTTGCCATCCTACACAGCAAATTCTTGCTAAATTAAATTTGAATCCATGTTTTTCAAATCTGATTTGAAATCTGGACTGAATGCTTTCTATTGATGAAATACTACTTGTTTAATATTTTCTAAGTCCAGGTCTACATAAAACAAAATAATTATACTATTTTGCGCGATCAGTAAAACCCATCACCAAAAAAAATCACACCCAATCATACAAGCAACAGTCTGATCTCCATTCATGAGTGAGTCTTGCTTTTGTTCAAATTCATCTGAGACTAATAAGATTGGTAAAAGGCAGCAAAAAAATAACTCACAGTTTGAATGGCGTTTTTTGCTTGTTTAAAGCTTTGTCTGAGTTGATGTTATATTAGTTGGCATTGCTTTAGTAATAGTAAACTATGATTTATGGACCCCATCACTACGGCTTAGTAATCAATACTGAGGAATAATAGTTCTTTTCTCTTAACAAAATCTAAACATCCCTACGCCTTTAAAATTTAGAAAGCACCACATATAAATGAATGTATAAATAAGCAACTTAAAAAAACCCTCCTTAAGACAATATTTTAAGATAGTAATTCAAATTTTTGTATTTCAATGAAACTTTTATTTTAAAGGCATGACGAGTTCTCAGAAGGACTGCATCATCATACATGCATGGGTGGGACGACTGTCATTACGCAGACACCATCTGCAGTTTCCATCATTCATATTTACCCAGAGGCTCAGGAAATGTACGGTGAAAACTACATCCTTAGGAAAATTAACAAGCCTGGGGTGGAGCTCGGTGGTCCAGGGCTTGCCTCGTATGGAGTAAGCCCTGGCTGGCTTCTGTCTCTAGCACAGTGAAACAGCACACAGAAGCCATTTATTCAATAGCATCCATGCAAGGGGACTATTTCTCATGTTTACCAAATGCCTCTGGACTTGAAGCATCTCCCTGTCTCACAACTCAGAGCTTGATTTATGCTACTGACATCCACAATGAACCGTTTTCTCATGATCATTTTGGTTTCCATAAAGTAAATCCTTGGGATAAAAAAACTGTCTCCAAACCCCTTAAGGCTTATGTTTTCCTGAACGTTTCTGAAAATGCGGCAACTTTCAAAACCATTTGTTGCACTGAACACACACACTGTTGGTGAGGCCCTTTCCGGTGTGCCTGGCGCATCTGGATGTTCTCGGTCCAGCACTCTGTGGCTGTAGTGGTGTGAGCTGTCGCAGAACCAGCTTCAGCTTCCAAGAAATTGACAACATAAAGACTAAATATCCAGCTATTTCTACTCCTATAGTTTCTCTCTCTCTCTCTCTCTCTCTCTCTCTCTCTCTCTCTCTCTTCCCATAGAAATACAAGCATATTCTTAACAAGTGGTTTTCAAACTTTTCAAACTGAGGTTCCTTCAGCCCTCAAAAATCACCTCTGTGTTTCATCTGTAGCAAGTCAAATGATGTAAGTGGGCATCGTGGCCTTAAACACCTGTGAAAGGATTAATATTTTATCCATAGTTCAGGGGTTCAGTGAGATTTCCCAACCCTGCTTGCACTTTCAGTCAGACTGGTGGCCTTCAAAGAGCTGTGGCCAAAGAAATCATCTGTGTTCTGGTAGAAACAGGAAAGAATCATAAAGATAGCTCATTTCTCTATCCAACGTTCGAAATTTTTCTCTGTGATTTACTTCTGGATGAAGGAAGCCTTCGCCGTTGTGTGGAACAGAGACGGCAAAGACTAAGGAACTGAGGACTCTGCAGCACCCTCATGGACTGAGGCTCTGGTGAGGTAGAGGCCTGTGGCAGCCCCTACAGGTGGGAAGAGCTTATCCCTGAAGCTCCATCCAGCCTTCCATTTCACAGACAGAGAAGGGAGGAAAGAGAGACAGACATATCATCCACACATGGAAGGAGATGCTGGAAAACCATTGACTCAAAGTTCAGAGTGGCCAAAGAATGTTCTCTATTGTTATGTACCTCCAGAAACCCCAACCCATCTTTGCATTCGCATTTCAATGGACTTTTCCAACGGTCCCTATGAATAGGACTATTTTATCCCTGAAGATTTTACATTCTGGTTTACGTTCTATAAACACAACCAAGCATATCCTTAACCATCACAACTCCATTATTATTAAAACATTTACTTAAAATGATTCTGATGTGTGACAATTTAATATGTTGGAAGCTCAAACCCCATCAGTTAAAAAAAAAAAGAAGAAGAACAAAAACAAAAAACAAAAGCAAAAAACCTCCCTCTACCCCCTTCCTTCCAGGGGCTGTTTAGTCAACTGCTGTTTTCAGCACTAAAGAAGCCGTCAAGAGTCAAGCAAGCTGCTCTGACCAGGCCTTAGACAACTAGAAATCCTGGTCCATTATCTACACACACATACACACACACACACACACACACACACACACACACACACTTTTGAAATGCCTAAAGATCAAATGAAAGCCCCAGTCTGAAAAGGCAAGACTCAGCTTAGAGTGGCTTGGCCATCCCATGACACCTGCTACTCTTTACCTGTCTGTAAGACCAAAGTTCTCTCCTCTCCATCCAGAGAAACAATCCTGAAGTTATAGAGGGTCCCTGCTTGTAAATCCTCGGGGTTGCATCCATAGGTAATGTTGTCTATCTGAATGGGAAGGCACAGCGCGGGCCCTGAGGTATCACTGCTGTAGATGAGGCTAAAGTTGCAGGGTGACCCCAAAGTCCTCCACTGGATAGACGCTGAGAAGCTGGAGATCCTGGGCTCCAACAGTGTAAAGTTGCATCTCTCTAGCTCTGCCAGTCCAGCCTGCAAAAGAACCAGAGAGCACGGATTAAGTCCCCAATCTGAAGTGTATAAAGGCATAGTCACCTCCCTGAGCCACCTGTCCTCACCCCTGGAGCCCAGCTGCAGTTGTCCGCTCAGTCTCCAACCCAGGAAAGGGCTCTCAGGGGAAGTGGATAGCAGGCAACTTTCGCCCCAGTTGCTCCATCTCTCCTAGGAGCAGCGGGAGATTGAAGGAGGGTGAGCTGTCAGTTTGGTGGATGGCTGGATTTCGGGAAAGGATGACTCTCCCACATAGGAATATAAGATTGTGTTCCTTTCCCCTTCGCGCAGCCCCGGAGGCTGGAACGAGGATGGACTTGGGGAGTGGAGCATCGTCCCCATTCCTTGCTCTGCCAGCTCACCTGCAGGAGGCTCAGCGCGATCCACAAGGCCAGTGTGGCTCCATGGTTCAGCATCTCGCTGGGAGGACAGCCAGGGCACCTCGAGTACCACTTGTTGCGCGCTCAGCGCGCCCCGCGGGCGCAGCGCGCTTCCCTCGAAGCTGGGGACGCGCTGGGGCCGCGGCAGCAG